GTTTAATTGAAACTAACCTTAAATAATGTATCTTGAAGCAAAAAACCGAGAATTCTTTCACTTTAATTTTATACAGGTGGAATATACGCTCAGAAGCGACTATTAAGCATCTAAAAAACATATTAGAGTAAATTGAACAAAACGACCGAAGAGTTTGTCTTGATTTCCAAATCTACTGGGGGTAAATTTAATTTACGCTCTGCACAACGTTATTAAATTCATCGGTTCGTTTGTTGTTTTAACCCTCACGTTGAATATAGCGAGCAGGTGGTAGAAGTTCCAACTGTTTGAGAAGCGTTCAATTTGGGCGTATAATTAACAAAATTACTCTGGGAGAACCGTTGTAAATAGTGCTGCGGTATACCTGGCGTATGTAACTACGCTGAGTTTCACATATCCGCTACTCAAAATTTATTCCCCATTCAAATAGATACATTGATTGAAAGTTTGGAATAAAATGACAAATAGTTATCGCTGCAGCTGTCTATGTATGCATCCATACGTGCTACAGAACGATCATTGATAAGCCTTGTTTCGAAACTACATTTTTAAATAGAAAATGTATAACGTTTTCCTTTTCATAGCAGAAATAAAGGTAGAATTTTGGGTTCACTACACTACATTTCAGCGATTAAATGGCACGCTCTCACTGAAAACTAGTGTAATTGGTTTACCAAACATTTGCAAAAGTTTATTCGCCGAGGTGTGGTGTTACTTAAGTGGTAACGCTAGTGCCAAATCAATTTTAGCTACCAAATTCGCTCTCTGTTTAATTATTAAGTGCATTTATTTGCTCGATTAAATTTACGAAACCCTCTTGAGGTTGTGTTTAGCGTATGGATTGCAGCAGATGGTTACCAACTAGACCATTAGCAATCTCCTTTCTGATCGCATTGTACAATTCTAATAAGAACTTTCTTTAGGAATTAATTAGCAAATCGTCTTTTGATAAATGCCGAAACTTTGTTAGGGCGGGGTTGCTGCCTCTGGGCGTAATAATTTTTTTCCGGACTCGTTCCACTCTTAAATTAATTAGGTACGAATGTAAATTTAAATTGAAATTGAATACAAGCTGTACCAATTTTCTAGCAGTTTCCATCGGTTCGTCTCGAATGGAATTATTCGGTCGCTAAATTTGCACTGTAATTGAAAAGCCTTCCGCTATTTCGTTGAGTTGATTCGATTATTATACTCAATTTATTAACATTAATTTGAGCGCCAAATGGATGTTGGATTTTGACTTGTAGCGAAAGATTTTTGTGGACGTGTTCTTAACTTTTTTATTTATTTGTATCACGCCCACGTTAATTTACATTATACAGCATTTATGAATTTCAAGCCAAATTAGTAAAATGCTTTCTACCCTTCATGTTTATGAATTAAATTGTGATCGGCCCTCTGAGATACTATTTCTACCCACCAACTGTATTTTGAGTTTCAAGTTTGATGGAGTGATAGTAGCCTATTTTAGTAAAAATACTTACATCCGCTTCTCATATAATTGGCAACAGCGAATGGTGGGTGTCGATGGCCATAACGAATTCCACCGAAAAGTGGTTACTGGTGTGGTGGGCTTGTGCCAGTGGAAGACTTTCCTTTACGTGCGTAATAGCATAATTCTCATTTACTATTCGTTTCTTCATTATAAATTCAAATTCAAAAAGAAAGACTTTCTGTTAATTCTTTTTGTTTCTTTTGTTGCAATCTAGTATATTAATTGTGGCCTGTAGAATCCATAATTTCAAACAGTTCCAAGATTGGGTTACTAGATCAAAAGTTACAGCCCTTTGAATTTTTATGCGACGTTGGTTTTTTGCCCATAACTTTTGATTGAAAGGTTTAATCGAAAAAATACGATTCGTTTTGGATTCTACGCACCCAAATTAAATAGAAAATGTGTTTTCCCGAGAAATTTTGGTGTAGTCGATTTCTGGTAAAAAAGGAAGGTTTATACACTGCCTTTTATTGAGACCCGAAGAAAAAATTGTCTCAGATCGACCGGAAAAAAACATTTTCTTATAGAATGTGGCCTGTAGATTCTACAATTTCAAACAGTTCCAAGATTGGGCTACTAGATCAAAAGTTACAGCCCTTTGAATTTTTATGCGAAGTTGGTTTTTTGCATATAAGTTTTGATTGAAAGGTTTAATCGAAAAAATACGATTCGTTTTGAATTCTACGCACCCAAATTAAATAGAAAATGTTTTTTCCAGAGAAATTTTGGTGTAGTCGATTTTTGGTAAAAAAGGAAGGTTATACACTGCCTTTTTTTGAGGCCCGAAAAAAAAATTGTCTCAGATCGATCGGGAAATATTAGCACTCACGGCCAGATAAAATACACCACTCAACAAGCGATCGATAGGACAAATAAAATGAACTGCCATATGCTTTTAACATAAGTTTACCCTACGTTTCGCATAAATTCTTCTAGGTATCTTCTTGAAATCTACTAGATCCTCTTAAAATCTCACAATGTCTTTGGAAGCTTTAGGACACTCCAATCCATTGAATTGTATACTCTATCACTGGAACATCGCTAACCAAAATCGTGAGCCTCCTAACGTAGGCTGTGGTAGATATCCTCATCCTTGTTTGGCACGTTGTTTGGTTTACAGAAAAAGCTTAAGCTATGTTTGAGGCTCTTTGGAACATGACTGATACTGGATACAACCCCTAATTTAGTGAAAATGGTGCCTGTTTTGGGTCTCTCCACCCATAGAGTTTTAAGCGAACACTATATCTCTTAGAATCTTGTTTTAATTTTCTATGGCTCTTTTTATAATGCTTCTAGAATTTTTTTAGAATCTCTTTAGAAACATCAGAACCCTCACAATCCTTTGAATTTTCTCAGTATCTTTTTAAAACACAAAAAGATCTCGGAACTTCCTACAATTTTCTTATAGCGTTGATTGGAACCTTCTCGAACCAAAATGTAAAGAAAATATGAGCCATGTGGGGCTGGAGATGAGTTTATAATATAGATATCGTACGGTACGGTAAATAGTTTAAAAATGTAGTGATTAAAAAATTTTTTCTTTCCAAATCTGTCGCCGCCAACGATTTCTTTTAAAGTGTTGCAAAACATCCTGTGGATATAAACAAAATAAATCCGCCTAGTCTATATACAGGGTGAACATTTTGTGTGGAACACAGGATGTGTCTTCACAACAATTTTTTGAAACCTTTTATGGTATCCAAAATTGTTAAAAGTCTGCTACCAATAAATACATTTGTTTGTGGTCAGTGACGCACTTGTGCAAGGTGAAGGAGTGCATTTTTTGGCAACTACTAGTTTTTGTTACATATTTGTACCTTTTTTTTGGATATAGCAACATAAACAACTTATTATATTACATAATCAAATTTAACAGAAAAACCAAAAATAAGGAAAATAGTTGCGGTAATTAATTTAAATTGCACTATAGTTGTGCTATTGAATATGAGCCGGATTAAAAGTCTGGTTTCCGAATTCGAGCTGAGTGGCAAAAAATTGCCTTATTGAAAACCGTACGCGATACTTAGGAGTTATCTTGTTAATATTAGAGTATGAGGGAGTTTTTATTACAATATTTTTCGCATGAATTTCTTGAATCTTCCATAACACTCTCAAAAACTAAAAATTTCACCATCAAATTTGGATATTTAGTTATAACACATCAAGAAAAGAACCCGAAAACCAATTATCTCTATTTCCAAAATTATGTTTCTTTTTCCTTGCGCGTTGCAATAAAGGGGGCGAGTTGTGGAAACAATGGGAAAAAGCATTGTAGAAACTAGACCTTTGCCCTTTTAACAATTAGGTCTTTTTTTAACCATTCTTTAGACATTTCTTCACCTTTACTTCAGTGATGAGGCAAAACAAAAAAAAGGGCATAAATAAGTTGGAGCACATAATATACAAAGGATTGCAAAGTTTAATTACAACATTCAATTACGAATTCACTTTTAGCTCTGCAATAAATTGCTAATCTCGTTAGCTAAATAGTAAAACACATCGACTTACGGAAATGCAATAAATTTCATTTATTTAAAATGCCCTTCCTTTGTGCCATTTTATTAATTAATTTATTTTAATTTAATTTACTCATTCATTTTGTTGTATTTATATATCATTTTCTGATAGTCTAATTGTACCTTCAAACCCGAGTAAGTACAAATATAAAATGCAGTGTTAATTAAAAGTAAATTTGGGGTATTAACTACATAACTGCTTCATTTCTTTCTATTTGTCCAGTGTCCAATAAAACAATCTTTTTATTTGTGGAGCCGTTTTCATAAAAGGCGCTAATTAGCAC